GGCCTGCTGGTAAGGCCATTAGTAATCCTGTGGGGAAACTGGAAATTGGGGGAAGAGGAAAGATGAGCTCCTCAGGCCAAGGGTGGCGGCAGCAGCTGAGCCTGCCAGCCAGCTTCTGACCTTACCTCTGTTCTGTCCTGCCCCGCCTCCCGGATTTAGGGTGGTGGGGAGCTTGGCTGATCAGGATCACCTGGGACAATTTGAGGAATACCAATTTCTAGACCTCTTCACAAATCTACTGAACAAGACTCTTGGGAAACTCTGGCATGTATCAGAGAGCGGGCCTCTCCCACAGTGTCTGGTCACCTGGTTGTGGGACCTGCTATTTCAGGGCCTTGACTCAGTCTGATCAGGCTAACCCAGCAGAGGGGAGGAGAAGAACTCATGGAGGGGAAGCATTGGCTAGGAAAGAACCAGGTGTAAAAAAAGGGGGCACTGCTCCAAAGGGATGCTTTGTTCTTTTAAGTGGTTCTCTTTTGAAAAGCTTTCTAGTGATTCCTTCTGTGAATTTTCCAGGAAGCTTTGGAACCTTTAGGGTGTGTTCCTTCTTTCAAGTCATGGGTTCAAATGGAAAAAGATAAAAATGCCTGGACTAGCACCAGCGTGGTGTCTATTTCAGGGAGGGTCCCGGCACATACATGTTCTGAACTGAGCAGTGCTGGCTGGGCTGGCAGTGAGGCCCCGCCTTCTCCAGCTGCTCCCTCATTCTCCTCCCTCCTTCCCCATCAGGATGTGAAGATCTTCAGGGCCCTGATCCTAGGGGAGCTAGAGAAAGGGCAGAGCCAGTTCCAGGCCCTCTGCTTTGTCACCCGACTGCATCACAATGAGATCATCCCCAGCGATGCCATGGCCAAGCTCCGGCAGGTGAGTGCTCCACCCGGACCCAGTTCCTCAACCTCAGTTTCTCACCAACCCCCTCATCCTCACCCTGCTGCCAGCCAGTTGCCCAGGCCCACTTTAGCCCTCATTTCTGACATCCACTCTTACCCTACAGTCCTAAACCTCCTGATTTGGCCACACCTGAGTCTTAGCCTGAGCTCTTTAACCGGCACTGGATTCCCAACATCAGATTTCTCAATCCTCCAAGCCCTCCCCTGGCTTCAGCCCTTCACCTTTTATAATGGAGAGCAAGAGCCTGAGCTCTGATGGAAGATCCAGCTCTACCACTCACTCCGGGAGAGCCACTGGCTATGGTACTTCACCTTCCATTACCAAGAAAATGGGTTATGGCAAGAAGGAAAGGAGGTGATGATCATCCTGTGATCAGCATACTGTTAAAAACCCTTAAACCCTGATTCTCCCAAGTTAGGAGTCCCTCAGTCCTCTCTTCAACCTCAAGTTACTTAAATTAGCTAGCAGGGTCTGCCAGATTAAGGGCAGGGACCAGGTTGGAGTCATGCATGCCCTTAATGACATTATCTAGTGGCTGTTTTCTCTCCTTCTCTGCCCACCCCTCCCAGAGAGACTCGGTCACCCAGATGTTCCCCAGAGACCATTTAGGCAGTGCTTTGGGATAATGTGTCTGGCCTACCCACCTCCAACCCTACTTCCAGCAATATCCCAGAATTCTACATCAAGTCAGATGTCAGCCTGGGGGCCAGCAAGCAGCTTGAGAACAGACCGTCCCGAGCAGAAGCTGAATAGTCTGACCACACTCTGGCCCCATTTTCTCTGCCAGTTAAGATGGGGAGGAGTGTGGATGCCAGTGGCCCCCAGTGTCCTACAGGGGGGAACATCCTGGGACCAGGTATGAGTGCCTCTCTCCCCTGCACAGAAAAACCCTCGGGCTGTGCGGCAGGCCGAAGAGGTGCGGGGGTTGGAGCAGCTGCACATGGACATCGCTGTCAACTTCAGCCAGGGGGGCCTTCTGAGCCCCCACCTCCGCAACGTGTGTGCCGAGGCTGTGGACGCCATCTATACTCGCCAGGAGGATGTCCGGTTCTGGCTAGAGCATGGTCAGCTGGGTTCTGGGTCCAGGGATCCTGTGCAGAGGAAACTGGAGGGAGAGGGCAGCACAGCTGGGTCTCTGTCATGTATTCAGGAAACAGTTACTGAGTACCTTCAGAGATGGAAGGAGCCCAGTGGCACAGTGGGCGAAGTGTAGGGCTACTAGACGGAAGGTCAGTGGTTCTAACACATCAGCTCTCCCATGGAAGAAAGCTGAAGCTGTCTGCTTCTATTAAGAGCCCTACATAGGGTCACTGTGTGTCAGAATCAGCTAGATGGCGGTGGGTTGGTTTGTGGGTTTTTTGTGGGGGGTTTTTTGTTTTTAATATAGAGAGATATATTGATGCAGGAATCCAAGCTTCCTGGAGGATGGATATGTAGAGTTATACTTGTATGTGACACCGTGCAGTGGTAAGAAATGGGAGTTGTGGGGAGGAACCACTGCTCCAGCCTGGGGTGAGTCAGGGAAGACTTCCTGGAAGAAGTGATGTCTGTGTGACTATTACATAATAAGAGTCAGCCAGATAAAATGGACCCAGCACTTTGACTCTGCTAGGCCACGTGAAGGGAGCATTCCAGATAACTCCAGCCTCATCCCTAATGACACAACGATAGGAGCATGTGTCATGGGAGGGAGCCAGGCACTAAGGTCTAAGTGAAGCTGAGACATCCCTTCCCACCTGTCCACCTCTGCTGCCACCTGTCAGAAGTCACTTCCCCCTGGACTCTCCTCCCTCTGCCAGCTGTTCTGGCCCATCTCCCAGTACCTCTCCCAAGACTACCCTTAGGTCCTCTCTGTTAGGGGACAGGGACATGTCACCATTCTAATGCCAGGCCCCTGGACCATATACTCTTCCCAAGGCAGGGCTGGATTCAGAACTGTCCAAACAGAGCTGTGGTCCTGCCCTCCTGCTGGACGAAGGTACAGGCCTGAGACTGTCCCAGCAGAGGATGGTCCACCCATGGTCACACTCCTTACACACAATCTCTCTACCATCCATCCCAGCCCCGTTCTCCCTGACCACCCCCTGCAAGCATGCTGTGTTCCTGCTGCCCCTTCCCTGCCTGGTCCTCCTCAAATGCATCATCTTTAAGAAGCCTGCCTCAGTTCCTGCTCGCTTTGTCATACCTCTGTTGCAGCACATGCCAGCAGAGTGGGGGTATCCCCAAGTGGCAGAGTGCAGGCCTTGAAACCAGATAGACCTGGGTTCCATTCAGTCCTGTACTACTCACTGTGTGACCTCAGGCAGATGGTACAACCTCTCTGAGCTTCAGTACTTAAGAGGTACTGCGCATAGATTCCCTGGCACATAGTAGGGACTCAATAAATGAGGGTGATTATTAGTCATATGTCTTCCTCCACTAGCTAGCTTGGATCTGAGTGTCTAGCTTATCCTTACCCGAGACTCCCTGGACTAGCCTGAGAGGAAGAGAGGGAGTGTCTGTAGATGCCTGAAGAGGCCAACACGGACTAGGAGAGCCTGTTCCTCCCTGCCTCCCTCACTCCCCACCTCCCGGTCTCCCTGACTTTGCCTTTCTCCCCCAGGTGTGGACAGCTCTGTATTTGAGGCTCTGCCCAAGGCCTCAGAGCCGGCAGAGCTACCACGCTGCGGGCAGGTGGGAGACCATGGAATGCCCTGTTCCTGCCGCTACAGCCTGAGCCTGGCCTGGTACCCCTGCATGCTCAAGTACTGCCACAGCAGAGACCGCCCCACACCCTACAAATGTGGCATCCGCAGCTGCCAGAAAAACTACAGCTTTGACTTCTACGTGCCTCAGAGGCAGCTATGCCTCTGGGACGAGGACCCCTAGTCAGGCCATGGGGATGAAGTGGGCCCTTAGGTGACAGACTCTCAACTAAGGCCCATTTCCCTTTCAACTGCCCTAATCCTGGAACCTCTGGTCCTGTCACTCATGACTGTGAAAAGGGGTGCAGCATGACAGGGGTTAACTCATGAAGGCTGCCCCACTCCCACCCATGTGCCTTCCTGTGGGCAGAGAGGGAGAAAGAGGTTCCCCAAACACACACCCCTCCCTCTTTCATCTCCCCTAAAGTATTCACTTTCAAGCAACCAAAATGTGGTGCTGTTATTAAACTCCTCCATGGTTTAGACCCTAAAAGAAATCTATGCCTGTTGTACCCACCTCCCCACACTACTCCCAGACCCCTCATGCACACTTTTGTAAGGAGGAGCCCCTCTGTACCTTCCTGCGCCCCAATAGTGAGTGGATCCTGACCACCCCCCCCCAGAGAGGGAGCTTGTGGGGGCAGCCTTGATTTCAGATTCAAAGCATTCTTCTCATTTCTGGCCTCTGAGGCCACTGTACGGCGGGGTGGAGACCGCCCACCGCTGAGACAGACCACGCGTGCCTTTTCCCAGACCTGGACTTTGCCACCAGTAGGTGCCAGCCCTATACCCCTCTAAACAGAAATATTTTTGTAGGGTTATGGGGTGGGTAGGGAACATGAAGTATGAGGAAAACTTGAATTCCAGATGTATAATGCAAAGTATTTATCATTTGTACCAGAAATAAAAGTTTAAATTTTTACTTGACTTATGCTGGAGAATTTTTTTTGCTAATGCTGCCACCTGGTGTCAGAAGGTGGTATTTCCCCTGTACTTTATCAGAAACAACTTGCAACAACTTCTAAAGCGCCTACTGTGTGTTCAGCCATTGGAAGGGATAAGAGAGTGGGAGGTATTACTAGGATGGACACTTCAAAAATTGTACTGAAGATGAGACATTCTCATACATAGATGAAACCACAAGTCAGTAATAAACAGACTAAATTTTATCAATGGTTAAGAGATAAGGTTAAGTAAGACTCTGGAATCACACTTCCAGGGTTTAAATCCTCTGCCACTTGTGTCTCTCTTGGGTCAAGTAATTGAACTCTTGTGTTTCTCATTACAAAACACTTATTTGTAAGAGTTAAATGGCTTTATACATGTCAATTGCTTAACACAATGAATATACACTGTGTTGGCTGGTATTATTGATGTTGTTACTGTTAGTGAAAAGAGCAGACATCTCGTCGATAAACCTGAAGCAACTAAGGTAAGACACCTTGAGGTCTCTTCATGTCAACAGATCAAGAGGCTGTGAGGATGAAGTACTGGGCCGCTGCTGAGGGATTTCCAAGATGGAGGGCCGTGGAAGCATTGGGGGAGGTTTCCTGGAAGAGATGGGACCTGGGTTAAGGCTGAATAAGGATTTGGCAGGGTGGAGGCAGGAGTGCCTGAGTCTTTGGGGAAGTCTCAAGGGTCCTACAGGGGGACCCAACTCCTCAGAGAGAGGTGACAGGAAGAACCAAAGCCTTGGAGAGGACAGGGGCTTACCGGGTAGACCCCTTATTCTCCCCAGCACCCCCAGAATAGGCTGCTGCTGCCTTTAGCCCTGTGTAGATCATAGGACTAAGGTGAGAGCCAGGCTTGTTGGCAATGGACAAATTGGGGAGTCAAAAAAAAGATACTTTTTTGGGTGGGCAAGCCTTCTTTCTGAACCTGTTTCCAAGCACCAGCCTCAGCTCAGCTAGGGACCAAAGGAGGGAGGTGGTCACTCCCTGGACCTTTTCCTCCTGCCCCATCGTGTGCCTCAATGCCAAGCCCCAAGAGCTCCAACTGCTGCCCCATGTTTGTTGTTGTTGTTATGTGTCGTCGAGTCGGTTCTGACCCATAGCGACCCTGTACAGGGTTTCCAAGGCTGTAAGTCTTTACGGGAGCAGAAAGCCTCATCTTTCTCCTGCAGAACAGCTGGTAGTTTCGAACTGCTGACCTTAAGGTTCACAGCCCTATTCGTAACCACTACACTACTAACAGCTGGTAGTTTCGAACTGCTGACCTTAAGGTTCACAGCCCTATTCGTAACCACTACACTACTTGGAGAAGGTACCTCCCACCCTATGTTGTACCTCTGTTGCTTGGAGTGGTGGTGTTAAGTGCTGTGGAGTTGACACATAGCAACCCTGTACAGGGTTTCCAAGGAGCAGCTGGTGAGCTTGAACCACCAGTCTTGCTGTTCAAACGACTTTGCAGTCTGACGCATTAGCCCACAGTGCCACACCAGGACTGGGGGTGAGATTCCCCAAATCCATACACCTACCTTTCTAACTTCCTCCTTAAACTTTACTGACTTATAAAGTAATGCTTTGGTAAAAGTTATCTTTCCACGACTGGAAGTGTTTTCCTGGGGTAACTCAGACCCTCAAGTCTGCCTGCCTGCCATAGTGAGAGGGATCTAGACACCAGAGGCTTTTAGGGCCTCTTCTTGTCTTGGGGAAGCAGTAATAAAAATAAAGACTTCCTGAGACTTTGGTCTGACCCTACATTCAGGTAAAGCTGATGCCTCCCCCAGAGACCATGCTTTAGGGGCTGAGTAAAAGTCCACCGTTCCAAACAACCCTTCCCAATCCCAGTCTGTAACAGTGCCCAAAACACCATTATGGTACCTTCTTGGCAGAGCGGCTCACATCTTAGGGTGCATCCGAATCACTTGGGTGCTTGTTAAAATAGCTGTAGAGGAACAGAGAAATGCTGTGATGAGTGTTTCCTACCCCCAGCAGGCCTTTGAGGCCATGTGGAGACAACTGGGAGACTTAATGTAGACGTGATAGAGTAATGCAGAATCATTACTCATTCCTCTCTGGTACTTTATGGTTTACAAAGGGCCTTCATATAAATGAGTTCATTGGCTCCTCATAGCAATTCTGTGACATTTTATAGCTGTGGCTCACCTATAAAACTATGTGACTTGCCTACGGTCAGACAGCTAGTCAAAACAACTGGGATCCAACCCTCATTCTTTCCACCATGCACACCCACTGACCCGAACAGGTTATCTAGCAGAGTGGTCCGCTGAGCATCAGAGAACACAGCTCCCCTAGCAGAGGGGCAGAGGCTTGGGTGGGACAAGAGGAGAAGAACAGATTCGGGAGCACTGACTGGCAGGAGCACAGTGTTGGCAGGAACAGTTCCCTGATGGTCCCCTTTACCAAGGTAAACAAGGCACTGTCATGCTGCAGATCAGAAGCCCAGACCTCACAGGTGCTGCCTCAAGCTGGAGAGGAAAATAAGGGCGGTGTTGGGAACTCCTGGCAGCATCCCCCGTGTCTGGTCTGGTCCTTGATGTGGACTTCCCATGGGCTTACTCCAGACTCATCTCCCTGCATTCTATTTAGCCAAGCATTGGAGTGGGTTGAGGGGTAACGGGGACCTCACAATTGGAGTCCTGGTGTGGCGCTGTGGGCTAATGCATCAGACTGCAAAGTCATTTGAACTGCAGGGTTGGTGGTTCAAGCTCACCAGCTGCTCCTTGGAAACCCTATACAGGGTTGCTATGGGTTGGAATCGACTCCACGGCACTAAACAACAACAACCCAGTATCTTTATGGATCCTGAGTATGGAGGGTAGAGCAGAGAAGGAATCAAGCAAAATGTGAAGGAGTGGTCCTAGGACCAATGCTTGAGGCTAACAACATACATGAGGAATGTGGATGTCCACTTGGTCCCAACTCTGTGATCTGGAATGGGTCCCCTCTCCTTTTTTGTCTCATCTGCTAGGTATTCCCTCAGATCCCTCCCCGATACAGATACTTCAGTGTTTTCATTACTTAGCTATTTGGCTATTGGGAGACAAATGAATTGTTCACTGTGACTTGTCCTTACCAGCCAGGCCTGAAATAGCTAAATCATAGGCCTGTGTACTTCAGTAGACACTTGTTGTTAAGTGCCATCAAGTCGATTCTGACCCATAGCGACCCTGTATAAGTGTTTCCAAGGAGCAGCTGTTGAGCTTGAACTGCCGACCTTACAGTTCAAACAATTTGTAGTCTGATGCATTAACCCACAACACCACACCAGGACTTCTTGGTGGTGGTGGTTATGTGCCATGGAGTCGGTTCCGACTCATAGCAACCCTGTACAGGGTTTCCAAGGCTGTAAATCTTTACGGAAGCAGAAAGCCTTATATTTCTCCTGCAGAACAGCTGGTAGTTTGAACTGCTGACCTTGCGGTTCACAGCCTGATTCGTAACCACTATGCTACCAGAGGACTTGTTCTTGTTGCTGTTGTTGTTGTTGTTAAGTGCTGTCGAGTCGGTTCCAACCCATAGCGATCCTGCATAGGGTTTCCGTGGAGCAGCTGGTGAGCATGAACCACCAACCTTGCAGTTCAAATGGCTTTGCAGTCTGGCACATTAACCCACAGCGCCACACCAGGACTCCAGAGGACTTCTTAGTAACCTTCAAATGGGCTGTTCCAATTGATTTGCTTACTGTGTAAGACTTCATTCTGCTCGGATCAACCATCAACACTCAGGGAAGCAGCAGTTAAGAAATCAAATGACATATTGCATTAGACAAATCTGCTGCATAACACCTATTTAAAGTGTTCAAGAGCAAAGATGTCAGTTTGGGGACTAAGGTACACCTGACCCAAGACATGGTATTTTCAATAACCTTATATGCCATGTGAAAGTTGGACACTGAATAAGGAAAACTGTAGAAGAATTGATGCATTTGAGTCACGGTGTTGGAGGAAAATATTAAGAGTATCATGGACTACCCAAAGAACAAAGCTATATTAGAAGAACAACCAGAATGCTCCTTAGTAACCAGGATGGTCAGGCTTTGTCTCTCATACTTTAGACATATTATCAGGAGGGACCAGTCCCTGGAGAAGGATATCATGTTTGGTAAAGTGGAGGGTCAGAGAAAAAGAGGAAGACCCCTAACAAGATGGATTGACAAAGTGGCTGCAACAATAAACTCAAGAGTAACAATTGTGAAGTTGGCCCAGGACCGGGTAGTGTT